TGTCACTGTGGCCAACAATGCTGCATATATTGTTTACTTTGCCAGTGCTGTAATTGGGATATTATAGCACTGGCATTGTTAAAATTTCACTCACCTGCACTAATCGGGGTGTTTACTGCTTTAGTATTGTTGCCCACAAGCCCCACTATAACTAATGCCCAAGAGACAGCTGACTGAATCAGTGTTGGCTGAGCACTTATGTGATTCATAGCATGGAAGGGCACATTTTGTATTAGGAAAGTATCTAATTCACCCTGCTGGCTTCTCCTATTGGAAGCCAATGATGGGAGACCAATGCACAGCATATTATGATGTCATATGGTGCAAAAGTGTGCTGTATTGGGCAAGGTATAAAACAGTTTAAATGCAGTGCAAGAGATAGAGAGACAACATATGCAATGTTTTAATATGTGTCTGCCCTTGGGTTTTAAAGCAGAACTTATGTGAAAAATTAAAAAAATACTAGGAGGTTACATTTTTGGTATGCAAAGTCCCTAAAGCTCACCGCACACTTTACACTCTCATTGAACAATGCCCTGTAGATCTACCAACAGCTATGTAGTGCCAGAGACTGCCTGATTACATACAGATTACTTGGGTAGTTTGGTAGGTCTTTAATTTACATGGTTTTGGTAAATGTAAAGTAGATTGTGCAAAGACTGTAGAGTCAGATTGTAATGTGGATGGTGACCCCAAGTCTGCTAAACTTCCTTTTCTTTTTTGTTGCAGCACATTAATAGTTCGGTATACACCCCTGAATCCTTACAGATGCCAGGAATTGAGTATATGAATGATGTGACCCCATGAAGAAGAAGATGTCAACAATGGAGTGTCAAGAGGGATATCATACATTGCATTGCTGGAGGAGGGAGGTAAGTGTGCCATAGTTTTCATATGCTGAGCACACTTGCACAGTAGGTGCAAGTATGCACATAAGGTGGGCAAAAGCCCACCTATGCAAGAAGCAGTAAAGGTCTGCTTTAAATAAGACCAATATAATGGTTGTACTGTAAAACAGATTAAGAGATTTAAATACAACAATATGTCAAGAATATTTTATCTGGCAGCATCATCGCTTTGTATATCCATCTGGACCTTCACTGCCAGACCAGAGAACTTCATGTCTATAATAATAAGGTGCTTCTAAATGCATTACTGATACAATAGCAGTCATTAAAATTAATGAATACGCATTTGCTACTCAGCATTATGGCACGCATTTATCCAATTTGTTTTTGAAGGCGTCAACAGTTTTATGCCGCAGTAAATGACAAGGGGAACTTTTATCTGTAATATAATGGAGTTTGCAATTTCCCCTGCTTGGCACAGGAAGTGAAGGTCTCATACTAATATTATATTGTAATGCAGACTCAAGGCTGCATTCTTCCAGCCTTTTTCAGTCTTCTATACAGAATACGATTTTCCATAATCATTATAATATAAAACAGATACAGGTAGTGGACAGATAACACCATTTTATTCATTAGTCAAATATTCAGCATGTCACTTTTAGAGTTTACAGCTTTTACTTTTAATCTTTATTATATATTAAATACAATGCGAAAATAAAAAAAAAACGACTGAGTTTTAGGGTCTTTTTATGATTCGTGGTTGATGTCAGTTCTGGTCCAAATTTTGCTGCTCTCCGATTTAGCTGTATTGCATTTGTACAATGGATGTAATAAGATCTCCCTTTCAGGCCATTACCTTAGTTCCATACAGCACTGTGAACAAGTAAAAACTGTAAAGCTAACCTGTCACTAAATTTTTAAGTACCCCTAACACTAAAAACCACACATAAAACGACCTGGTCAAGAAAACGTTTTGATAAAACCCTTCTTAATTGTACAGAAATGCAGTAAAATACGCGTACTTTACCTGGTGTCTACACCGACAAACTCTATTCCGATCAGCCTGCAGCTTTTTCTGTTCAGAACCCCGACCTCACGTAATTGCAGGAGAGAGTAGTGACTTGATGTCAGTGCCTTGAACCAATGAGGAACCAGTGAGAGCTGCATGGAACCCAGGACATTGACACTCCTAGAAGTGTTGGTTTCTCAGCGAACTTCAGGGGACTAATTCCAGTGATGGAAGTGGAGTTCAGTGGCATAGGCCCTGGGAATGGCATGCATTACTGCCTTCTTTTACAGGTAAGAGGGGTTTTAACAAACATTTATCATCAGAGGATCGTTTAACCCTTTCGCTGCCAAGGCCTCCGGAACACTTTACACCTAAGCTGGCCACACCATTTTTGCAATTTTTCCCAATTATTTGATTTTCTACTGCTGCGTTGTTAGCGTTTGTAAAAGACCCCCCAAACCATATATTTTCTGAAAGCACAGGTCTGGTAGAATAAAAAGATAGTTATACTAATTTTGTAAGCCCTGCAATATTTGTGCAAATGTTTGTCAAATCAATATTAAACTGATAAAAATACACAATTAAATGGATAAAAGCACACTAAAATAAGTATCAGTGCACAAAAAAATACTTTTCTGACTAAATCTAAAAGATAAAACTGTATTGAGTTACTAAATAACAAATATTTGTAAAATTTAAATTGCGTCTTTTTGCGAAACGGTAAAAAAGTAACTCAAAACTGTAAATAGGCGAGTTATGTTAAAAATCGTTTGTGCACTGTGCTGGTGTTTGTGTTGTGATAAAATGATATAGTCATACAATTAATCACAACACACGGCAATGCCTCACAATGCCCTGCCATGCGCTGCCACAGTTAAATTAATGTTATTTTGAAAAGTTAAAAAAAAGTCAGTCTTGAGGCTTCCTATTCATTCACTAACTGGTGATAGTAAAATATTTAATATCAAACAGTTTCTGAAAGGGTAGAAGCCTCTGTAGGATGACAGCGGCTCCTCTATCCTCCCCTCTTGCTGTTGCTCTCATGCCGCTCAGCCATCTTGATGATCAGCTCCCTCCACCAACCCCCTGTCAGCCATTTCTCCTGGGATCCCCACTGCCTTAGCCCATACAGGCGAGGGAGAGCAGCGGGGATCTGAGGAGAAGCATGGAGCCGCTGCAGGCAGGGTGGAGAAGATGACAAGCGACCATGAGTTTATAGCAGAAGGGAGGAAGCCACCGACGTAAGGCTTACTGAGCTGGCCAGCTAGAAACACTTGTAAGCGTTACTGCGGTGGCAGGGAAAGGGTTAATGCCTCACTACCTAAAGGTACATGCTGGAAGGACAGCACCGGAGAAGCAGGACACCTGGGACATGGAGGATACATTGCTTTTTTCTGCATTACACTGCTGGCCTCTGTACTCTGCATCACACCACACCACTGGCCATTGTACTGTGCGTCAACCCGGCTGGTCTCTGTACTTGGCATTACACCACTGGCCTCTGCACTCTGCATTGTTACTGATCTCTGTTCTCTGTGTCACAACACTGACCTGGCAGAGTTAAGGGCGGGGCACGATAGGGGTCAGGTGGGGCGACTGGTGGCGAGTAACTCTTGAAGCCTGGCTAGTAGCTCAGGACTTGAAATTTTGAGCCCTGCCTTACAACCATTGTACAACTTTTTTGTCCTGGCATCGCACCCTCGTTCAATTCTCATTCAAATAGCCCATCATGCACAGACCAATGTAGTTTGTGATTATCGTTCATCAGCACTACTAACTGGCCGAATTTCGTCGATCGACAGAACTGATTTTCGTTTGCGCATGTGCATTTTTTCATTTTGCTATTTTTGTTGTATGTATCAAAACGCCACTAATCCGTCGATTTTCATCCAACTCGATGAACGTTTTCTAGTCTGCCTGAAAGACTAAATTTGGCCAGTTGCACAGTATTTGCGGTTGTGCACTTCCCATCAACTGGCCGATTATCAGACGAAACCGTGACCGCAGGCGTAAATTATGTGCTAATCATAAGGCGTATGGGTACCTTATGTCCTGAAGCAAACTAAAGGTAAACAGCTTAATGTCTAATTCTGTGCAGCCATTCTTGTGATTTACACAAAACCTCCATACTGCACAGCTAGATATGTGACAAAAACAGCTTAATTCATTAATTTATCTTTCTGGTTAAGCATTTCAGCATTTTATGTCACTTTTCTACCTCCTGCCTCTTCATTGAACAGGAAATCAGAATTATTACCTCCATGCAGTGAGCAGCAAAGTTGACCTAGAATGCAATACATCTAAACCAGAAAGCAGCAAAGTTATCTTACTGATTAGCTAACGTGCAGCTTTAGCTTAGCTTTAACAACTAAAACAATGTCTGAACTCTTAACCTTCCTCCCCAACACTCAAAGAAAACCTTTCACAAACCTGGTCAATACGCACATGGTGACACAAACATGGCATCGCTGTAGACTAAGCTTCCTTCCAAGTGGATAAAACCAGGAGGAGCTGATGATAGTGTCACAAGTGAGATTTAAAGTAGAACTGAAAACAAAACTGTTTTTATAATTCCTGTCAGCTTTTGTTTGCCATTTGTATCCCATTGGGGAGATTTCCCTTCACTTCCTGTTTGATAGCCACAATAGTAAGTAAGAGGAAATTCATTCAAAGAGAGGGAAATCCCTGGTGATTAGTAGGATCACGAGAACTAGTGTCCAGACTGGAAGGTTTCCCATCTATTCCCGTTCTGATAACAACCTAAAATTAAGGATTTTCTTTCACTTTCAATAATAATGATCACCAGAACAAATAGAGAATGTAAATCTCCCTAGCGGGGAAACACAGCAATAAAAACCTGACACATGTTCTAATTCCTCTCCACTCTATCGAAAACTAAAAAACAAAGTTTTCACTTCAGTTCCACTTTTAGTAAGTCAGATAAATAATTACATTTTACCTATCCAAATGCCAGTTAACTGTTATTTTTGTTTGCTTCTGCTATTAATTATACAAATCAATATTAAAAAGTAAAACATCTTCCAGCAATCATGAATACTGTTCAATTACGATAAAGAAAAAAATCCTATTTTTAATCACGAATCTGCATTTTAATCATGAATATGTTACAGATCAGTTTGTTATGTGTAAAGACTTACCAGAAGATTTACTTTCAGTTACTTGTATCTTCAATATCTGATACGTGATTTTCCATCTGAAATCAAAAGAATAAAAAATAGTGAAATTGTGAGTTTGGTCCATGATTTCTATGAGTATTATAGCTGCAAGGCATACAAAAAAGAGCTTAACTATATCCCAGCTATTTTTTTCAAGTAAGGTAGAAGAAATATTTTTTTCCTCTTTATTATTAAGCTTTCTTCATATATTATACTAAAGGTTCAATGTTGGGTGAAGGATGATGTATTCATTAAACACGGCAGTTCAAGGAGGTGCAAATGCAGCAATTCATATGAGCTAATCAGAATTAATTTCTTATCTTTTCTGACTACAGTTTGGTAACTAGTATGAATAACCAGAAATATGTTTTGCTGCAATAGATTATTGTCTTTTGCATATAATCACTGTTCCCTACACATCCCTACTTAACCTGTTTGTTGAAAAGAAGGTACCAGAACTTTTTTCTGCCTAGTGCTGTCGTCTATGCCATCTTAAGGTGATCATTTGGAAAGTTGACTTATTGTAACTATCCTAGACAAGTAAAAGATCGCCACACATGAGGCAGTTAACCACAACCCTTCATACCTTGGAACTGCACCATTTGTAGCCTTAACCTGGTCTCCTTTTAATGGGGTGTAAACCATATTTTTCAGTTGGTTATAGAAATCAAATATCTATAATACTACCACTACTAATATATAATCTATATGCAGTGCTATTGGTTATAGATATGAAGGTAGATTGTCAGGTCTTTCTTCTGCAGGAAATTTAATTTAATTTAGGCACAATTTTGTCATATACCATTGAACTTATTAGTATGGATTTTGGGTATGGAGAACATCGGAGAACATCAGAACACCAGGGAAAAACCTATACAAACACAGGGAAAACATACAGCTCTATGTAGACAGCATCCTCGTGGGAATATGTACCAGCATCCCCATCATGCCAGATATCCCTCAGGTACTGTGTCAGGGTACTCACATTTTTTATGGACCAACATAGGATGGAAAAGAAAATAAACTGACGCTCCTATGTTCCTTTTCTTTCTCTTTTTTTAAACTTTTCAAGCAATAAGCCATTACTTGTATACAGTTACCAGAATACAATCTTTTCACAGTAGTAGTCCTTTAGGCCTGGTTGAAGACAAATTGTCAGGAATATTGCACCAGCTTACATAGCCAAATCCTGGCATGAGCTTGTGCATGTGTGCATGCGCATGGTTCTGCACACATAATTGTGAATGTCCATGCACCTCTGTGCTGGTGCATGTATGTTCATGTCTAGCAGGCATGTCTGTATGCTCATTGCTCACAGTGGAGCCAACTAAGTTATTTAAAGATTAGTCCTACCAGGTCTCACTACTGAAAGATCTTCATCAGTATACACATAACCTGCTATGTTGAAAACTAACTGCTGATTCCTTTTACCCACCAGGCTTGATCCTTCATGTGTCTGCACACCTGCTCTTTTATTGACCCCGGCTTGTTTCACCAAACATTTCTACATGATTCTCTGGTACCTCTGGTACATTTGGGCTCCTATACAGTTATGTTACACAAATATTTATGAGGCCATGTTTTAAAGCTACAGAGTGTCCACTCAACATTACTATTGTATTAAAACTGGGAAGATCTAAGCCATATTACCCAACTGTCCCTCATTTAGATAGACTGTTGCTCTTTTGTAACATAACCCCTCTGTCCCTCATTGCACCCCAGTTGTCCCTCTTTTTGTTCTGAAGCATAGACCGCTACATAATGTATTATTTAACTACTAAAAGTGTTATACTGCACTAAACATTTCATCCATTCTAAAACAAATATTGCATTTATTTAATTTAAAAGCCAATATTAAGTAGTGATAAAAAAATATCTCTGTTCACATATTAACTCTTCTGCCTAACTGGGAGCATGGCAGGAATGTGTCCTTTGCCAGCATACTTTGTGCAGTAAGGTGTGCCTCTTTCTCATCTCAGAGAGTCTATGCAGTTATGAGAACTCATATCTGATTCTCTGGGAAATGCTGCAGTTGACAGATGGCTAGTCCAGGCCAGATAATAAAAATTGTATACCAGTTCATTGCTTCCATCCTCATCAAAATCTTCTTCAATTCCATCTGTCATCTCTTCTCCATCGGCATCATGCCCTCCTTCAAGATGTTCTTCAATTGAATTCTCAGCCGTTTCTGACTTACATTCTTCTTGAGCCAAATCAGAATGATCTTCCAGCTGCTTTTTCTGACCTGCAGTAGAAATAAATATTAATGTCTTCTTGTGAAAGTCTTTCATTAATTCTTTAGTGTTCATTGTATAGTAAATGTGTGACAAACTTGTGCATTCCTGAAGAGTGTGCATGTGTACAGTGATACCACATTACAAATTACTTCCTCTATGAAGACCGTAGATACATATTAAGTTTATTAAAAGTGACCCTGTCCTCAAGATTAAACTGCCCAAAAAGATTTGTCAGTACATGAAGAGTGAGACTACTCTACCTGTGCTGCCAAAGGGGTTAAATAATAAATGGGAAGGGTGTCTTTCCTGACATAATAAAAGTTTAGTGGATTTTTCAGACACCATGTTCTTTATATGTTTTAATATAGATGATTCAACAGATATAAATATATTGCTTTTCGCTTGGAACAGTTGGAATAAGAGACTTTCATCTTTATTTATATTGTTTTTAAAGTGGCCCTTTACCCACTTTCTCTAAAAATCACATCTGCATTCAGCTCTGCATGCTGATTTGAAATAATCTTACATTCATTAATTAAACAAACTTATTTACATTTTACTTACAATTATTGTTTTTCCACTTCCTGATCCTCTTGGGCATTAGTGATATAATGTGCACAAGCATTGCATCCTGGGAAGGCTACATCAGCAAAGAATTGCTGGAAAATCTTATCTGTAATCTCATTAGATCTCAGGGAAAGGAATTTTCCTCCCCTAAGATGATGTGCATGGTCACATGTCCTAATCACATGTGCCAGAGTTCCAGGAAGTAAAAGAGACCTAGTAAGCTGCGCTTGGTAATAATGGCTACTGTGAGAAGAATGAGGAGGAAAAGAAAATACGTTTTTGCAAAGAATAAAAAAGAAATTATATCTAGAAGTATATGTTTGTAGATTGTCATTACTAAATATTTCTAAAGGTGCCCTTTTCATAATTTTAATGATATGGGTAAAGTTCGGCTTTAACATGTGTCAGCAATTGTGGCAACAACTGTAAATTTTTAGATTTCCCTTAATTTTATGTGCCGTTGATAATGGTCACCAGGAAAGAAAGCTAGGTACAGTCTCCTAATAATTCTTGCTTTGATGATAAATAATAATTTACTAAAGTGCTGATTTTTACACTAGCCTTTGTTTACACTACCAATTTGCTGTAATGTATACTATGTGTGTTGGTACGCTACAGTGCAATTCATTTTGAATTGCGTCACAACACAGTAACCCAGATAGCAAGGATAACTTGCCACAAACTTGTGTCAGGGTGAAATTGGTATTTTGTTAACTTGCTGCACACATTCCTGGCAAGTTGTAGACTTAGAGAACACTCGCAGCACAAGTTCTAGTTGACACTTTTTGAATTTGTAGCAAATTGCTTGGCAAGTCTACAGCAAGAGGCCTGCAGGTCTTAGCAAGAGCTCTGCAAGCTCGCTGGTCTGGAGACTTGCAATGCAGACTTGCTGTAATTGTGGAACAAAATTGTGAAGCTTGGCAAGTCTGCAAGAGTTTAGCAAGTCATTTTCAAACTTGCAGCACAATTACTTGCTATCTGGGAAGGCACTGAACCTGCACTGCAACAAGCCACAATGCATGATGGCAACACACACACATTCTAATAAAAGGGTGAAGTTTTGGGTGTGCTGGGATTTGTTGGCAGCCCATTCAAAATAAATGAGCTCCCGTAATGCAACACACATTAACATGTGACATAAGGCACTTTAATGCACCAGGCAAGTGTGAAGACAGCCTTATAGAGGCCAATCAGGTTCAGGGAAAATACCAAAAAACTAAAACTTGGATTTGGTTATTTTTTTCTGAGCTAAATACAGGCATGAAAAATATATGAATAATGTAAAAAAAAAAAGAAGAATTAGACACGTTTCAATGACTAATGTAATAAATGTTTATTTAAAAAGCACAGGGGATGAATTTGCTCATTACTTTATTGATGGTTGCAATCACTGTCTAACAAGGTGGAAGTAAGTGTCAAAACATCTACCAAATATAATGCAATTTGGCTCATGCAACACAAAAAAAGAAAAAAAAAAAGAAGACAATTGATTGATTGTTACTGAAAACATAAATATGTAAAATAAATTAGAGAATACAATTCCTGTGAAGTCTTCACATTTCTAAATTTGTGTGCCTGTCATAAATAATTCAGTGATGCCAGCGGCACTGCGATGTAGAGAAGGAAGAGGCTTTCCAAACTCAGTCTTTGAATGCTCAGGAAAAGCTTTAGAGGCCAGTCTAGCAACCCATGCAGAGTATGATCAGCAGACCAATTCAGCGAAAGAAACTTTAACATAAGCACATTTGGATATTGTCACACTTTGAAGATATTCTTCTCCTGTACTTATTTTCAGAGTTTAGAAAGTTCTGATTGCATTTCATAATGTGAACCTTTAGTTTGCTGATACTAGGCGAAGTAACAGGTTCTCTTTATAGCACAGAAATAACACTTCACTATACATCTTCCCAATGCTCCCCCACAGCCTCCATCTGCTCCCAGTGCCCCAAGAAATACCCACTAACTGCGTTATAGGAAATCACGTAAAAGTACTGCAAATAGTGTCTGATTGAGGTTGCCACCCATCCGGGATTGACAGTCCAGTTTGGAATCCTGTGCCCGGGTGTCAGCCCACCTCACACCCAGGCACATTATTCAAACTGGACTTGTGGCTAGAAAGCTGCAGACTTGCATACCTCGCGGTGGGCCGCACTGTCATTCCAGTCCCTCAACTCTCCCTCCCTCTATTTTTCTCCTCCACGGCTGGGACTAGGTGGGAGGAAGTGACATCAGGTAGAGAGCAGAGAGAGAGAAATCATCCTCCGGCAGCCGGTGTGGAGTGCTTTCGCCTGGGACCACCCTTTGCACTGAGTCTTACCTCTCTACTTACTAACAGGCATTTATTAAATGTAATTAAATGAAATATCAATTGAAAAGGGGGAGGGGTTGGGGTTTAGTATAGCACATAAAGCATGCCCCCATAATCAATGCCAAAGGTAACCTGTGACATCTTTTGTGGGGGCATCTTTTATGTGCAATAGTACGTATCGTCTAATACCGATGTCACCAGCACTAAGATTCCATGTTAGTGAAAAAGCCATTTTATTGATAGTTGTCATTCAAACGACAAGCGATTTCGGGGCTGCACATTGTCCCCTTCATCAGGCTCAGAAATGACATTCTAGTATGTCTATATATAGGTTGTGGTACTTTTATGCATAGGGATATACAAAAAATTGCCGCAAGGCGCTACAGTGTTCGGGTTTGGCTTGAGAAAAAGGTGGCAACCCTATGTCTGATTTGCCAATGACCAGGTTCAAACAGCATCATATGAGGGGTAAGCATGGATAGCTCTGTGTAAGTTTCTCCTTTCTGAGAAGTTTCTGGTGGCTCTGACTGGATCAGGTTACTAGAGGAAGACAAGTACAGGAGGCAGTAAAGTCCATTATGGATTTGTAGCCTGTGATCCACCCCTCACCCCAACCCACATACACACTGCTCACTTTGTCTAGGGGTCCTGCGTTGTATGTGATGAGTTCAGCGAGTTAGCAGCTGAACTGTTGGTGAAGAGGAGCAGCTTTGTGGGACAAGTCCTCCGGTGAGGAGGAAACCTGTGGGATTGTGAAATAAGGTAAACACTGCACTCTGTTAAGACTAAATTAGCAGTTTTATTTTATTGAGTTCCACTTTAGTTTGCCTTCTCAAAAGTGACCTTGTTACCTTGTCTATTATGTGAAAACTATTGTCATCCTCCTTGCAAAAAAAGAAAGCACACAGGGAAGAAGGTAGATCATAAGCACACATGTACTGCTTAACCATGTTTAGTTAAGTAACGCATTTTATAAATAGGGGTTTCAACTGTATTTTCTGGTTGTTTTGAGTTCCACTTAACTATAAAAGGCCTTTGGAACCAGCTATAAACCTTAACTTGTAAAACGTTACCCTTACTTCTCTACACCATTGGCAAAGTTGACATTGTAAGGCAATATAGATAAATTACCATAATTTCTAAGTATCATTGTTTATTATATTATGTTGGTAAATGCTATTGAAGTATTCATTTTACCATTGGGATATATTGGGGGAGCTATAGATGCAATACAACATCATTCCTATGCAAATATATCTAAAGATACATCTTAAAAACTGTTGCCCCTTGCTCGAGCACAATCCAAATTAAATCTAAATGTTGTAGTGCAGATTTGAGACGTTTGGAGGAATAGGATGGCATAGGGTGGAACCCAATCTCCCCCTTCTCCCACTCTGTTTGGGGACATCAGGCCAGATTAAATGTTAAGTTTCAGGGTCTGGGTAAGTTTTAGGTAAGTTTTTAGGGGTTGGGATAATGTGTAGAGCTCAGTTGTGTAGAGAGTTATGTGTCAGATTCAGCCTAAAGGTTAGGTTATTGTTAGGGGTCAGGTTACTTTGCCTTTAACTACATTTCCCTATACTGTTTCTAACTGGTTAGGGACCTGGCTAATTTGTATTTGACTGAGTATCACTAAATCATCCCAATCATTTAGAAACTGGTCTGATTGTTTTTCCAGATCTAGATTCAGGACCACTCCAAAACTGATACCAGCAGCCAAAGGGTTTCAATGAACAGCACATCTCGCTGCAAAGGAACAGCAGAAAGGGTCAGTCTTCAGGAACCAGGAACCACCAGAGCCTATTTGGTGATGATGGCCGCGATGTGCATGCTATGGCTGCGATGGGATCATTCCATCAGTCTTCTTGGCTTTCAAACTTGATGTGCAAGAAGGACCGCTCTCATCATCTAAAGTAGGATATGCACTTGTATATTTTTTTTAATTCAACCTGGGGGCTGAACGAGAAAAAATATAACAGATTCCTGTTTAGCATCGATGGAGGACAGTGGCAACTGGCATAATACCCAAACTGCAAGAACCGGTTGGCCAAAGATTTCCAATCTGCTCCTTTAATCTTCTGATCGAGGAATGCAGGGTGGAAAGGTGCAGACAGGAGCACCCACTGTGCAAATTTACATAGTATATGGACGGCTTCAGTCTACACCTGGTATGTGTGACTTAGCAAGGAACCTATGTTTAAGTTCAGCCTAGGTTTAAATACAACATTTGAATGTTGGGTTGGAGTTTACCTTTCCCTAATAAACAAAATGACCAGTAGCATAACCAACTTATCTTCATCTTGAACAAGATCACATCCTACACCCTGCTCCAATCACATCATTATTGGCTCCATATTTTTTTGATAGTTTTAAAACTCATATATGTTATACATATGATTTTTACTTTACAAATACATGTTTATTTACTTTACATTAGGTTAGTTAAGTTCTCCAGAGCTTTACTCTAGCTAAAGAGACAGTCAAGCAGAAGTTACCTTCTTCTGACATGCTCTACCTCCTTGTAATAAGATGAGTCACGCCTTTGACACTTTTCTGTGTAAAATTGTGCTTGAACTATTGAGCTCTGTAAACAACTGATATTTTACAAAAAATGGTCAAAGAACCTCAAAAAAAAGGTGACAATTAGGCTAAAGCATCCTTGATGCATGTGTTGATAGTTTTAGCTGAAATTAGGGAGGTCAACCAATCTGAGAATGGAGTACTTCATGGAAGTAGAACAATGTGTGCCCTGAAGCAGAGGAGAGATAGGATCACTAGAAGGAAGGGATGGGGTGTGTATTGTTACTAAGGTCGGGGAAGCAGAAGACAGCTGCCAGGGGGCTTTAAATATTTTGGTTGAGAAGAATATGTTCCAGGATAGGATTTCTGATGATGAATGGATATGGGGGGGAGGTGTAAATCAGTTCATATGTTCTTCTAGGTGGAGAATGGGGTACTTCTGTAAGGCTGAAGCAGTCAAAATCATATTCTAATGAGTTTACTTTTGTGATGATATGGAAGGGACTGGCAACCTTTGTGAGTGCAATAAGTGAGAAGTAGAGGGATGAAAACTATCAACAAGACCAAAGGTCATGGTGCATCTACAATGATTAGGTCACACTACACTGAACTACACTTTTATATCCATTTTCTTTCACCCCTTTCTTCATAGCTTTTTCCCTTTAAGAGTCGCATCTTATTAAACACTAGCATATGTCTTTCCTTTTCATGAATACACTATAATGCTTCTTTCTGAAGTTGCAGCTATCAAATGTATTAAAACAGGGTTGTGTCTTACAATTAACAAAGGACACATTGGTAAAGATAAGGCATTAACACATTAAACAAAACTGAAATTACTTGTAATTCCTTAGTGCGCATTCTTGTGGTAATTCATCTTACTATAGAAAAAGCATCAGGAAAAAAAAGATCAGAGGAATGACAGATGGGAGAAGCACAGCAAGATAGAGATGGCATTGAGATAAACAGACTCTCTAGTGGCACCAGAAAATTGTCATTCTAAGAAGAAAGCTACACAAAGATACCAGAATATATGTGAAAGAATAAGCATTTAAGGCAGATTTAGCATCAGATATATTTATTTATAATATCTGGATGCATGGTAAAGCTGGCCACACACGGCCCGAATTTTGGCCAATGCCTGTGAATCTGCCACAATTTGAGCCATGAGCCCTGCCAACACCACCCAGCTCAAAAAGATGCTGAATATTGAAGTCAAGCAAAAAAAAAGTTAAAGTGGCTGCAGCTGATTGTCTTATTGTTCATGTTAAAATACAGTAGCCGGCAGAGGATATTCTTATTTTCACTTTACGACACTGCCAGCACTAGATTTCTGGTCTTAGAATGGCAATACTCACTTACTGCACTGTATATATACAGATGCCTCCTATTCTTCGTTACATAGGGAAGAAGTGTTGTGTAGTCCACAGAAGAAATTTGGGAAAGTTAAAAACATTATCTGAGACTTCATTTCAGTACGCAGGGAGTTACAATGACACTGGACTTCTGGCAAGATCAACTGGTATTTTTCTGTACTTGCAGAAAATGTACTTGGCCTGAAAAAAACCTAATGCAGCCACCACATCTAAGTGCTAAGCTTCAATATATAAAAATTTTTATTGTTGGGTCTAGCTTTCCTTGAAAAATACTGTCTAATTCATCCTAGATCTACATCATGGCAATGTCCATCCTAAAGGTTGAAGCAGAAGAAACACCAAGATGAATATGGCCCAACAGTCTGTTGTCAGGATGCATAGTAGCACTGTAATACTCTGGTCCCTCATGGTGGAACAAGCAAACTAAATAAATCTATAGGTAAAGCAGAAAACCCTTTCCAACCAACTTAAGAGTCATTAGACATATGAGAATATAAGAGCATATAAAGTTACGCTAGCTATTAAAATTTTTATCATTATGCAGAAGAACTCCCACACTGTCTGGTCTTAGGGCTCAAATCACATTGTTTATGAGGCGTAAAATTGTTGCAAACACATTTAAAGGAAATCTATTATTTTTCCAATTTAATCGCTTCTTTCAAAGCCTCTGCTGAAGATGCCATGTTCCTCAGACGTTGCCTTATAATCAATCGAGAGTGAAGTTAGCGTTTTCGTAATTATGAGCATAACCTGCATCATGAACAATCAATACCCTCATTGAAAATGAAAGCTACATTTTCTGCTAATGAAAATAAAATCAACTACACTGTGATTAAAAGACCAAAACCCAACAGCACAAACATCACAAATTAATTTATACGGGATCACATTATATACACTTGGTATTTGTTAATGCCTTTACTTTATTTTTTAACAGGAGCTGCAAAAATACCGAACTAGAAAAAAAAACCTAAAACCAAACCTAAACTGAAAGTAATATTCAACTCTCAATTTCTTTTCCAATTTTTCCAATAATGAATCCAGATCAAACAAAAATAAATTGCCCAGCAAAGCATTGACTTACATGTTTGCCCAAACACTTATCATCATGTTTCTGAACAGCTGCTTCCAAGACTTTCAGCTCAGTTTCCCTGAACTTCCTGCCCAGTACAAGATCACAAAGGACAGTGTTGTCTCCAGAAACTGTTCATCTTCTAGTTTGGAGAAGGGAGGAGGGGGGAGAGGGGACCAGGGGGGAAGGAAGTAGCTTGATTTCCTGTGTCTGTGTGTTTGTGAAGACACGCACAGCTTACGAGCACACAAAAGGGTGACTGCATTGCATTCTGCTTGAGAAAGGAGTCACTCTAAAACAGGAAGTCAGGACCAGTGCTCAGGGGACAAAAACTTTTAAACAAATCAAGGAGCCTCCATCCATTGTAAGTGATTTCATCAGCATTTGAAATCGCTTAAAATCCTTTTGACTTTAATATAATGTCAATGTCATTGTTTGCATTGATTAGCTGTGTTCATCTGTTATCATTGTAGACATCTCAACTCTCCTGGACGTTCCAGGAGCCTCCCGCTATAAGATAGTGACTCCCGGATGCCCGAGGTAGAAACATTTTATCATGGAAAGGTTTACGCTGCTCTATCTGGCGTAAACCTTTCCCTGCTGTCTGTTTTTTTTTTCTATTATGATATCGGGTCCACCAGCTGCCATCAGAGTAAATAAATAGCTAGATTGCTATTAGCTATTTCAATTTGCAACAGCCAATAGCCGGCTGGCTATTGCACCCGCCCTCTAATGCTGTCAATCAGCAGAGGTGGACCTGAAGTTCTCCATCAGGTCCTCCTCTGCTGATTGACAGCAGCAGTGGACGGGTGCATTAGTCAGCTTGCTATTGGCTATTGCAAATTGAAATAGCCAATGGCAATCTGGCTACTCATTCCCAAGCGGGGTTTTTTTTTTTTAATTATTATTCTGATGGCAGAAGCTGTTAGAATAAAAAAAACCACAGCAGATAGCAAGGAAAGCATTAGCTCCTCTGCTATCTGCCATAATTTCAGGGAGGTGCCCTCCCCCCCCCCCTCGTGGATGGGGGGGGGGGGGGCTCCTCCCTGAAATGAGAAGGGCTCCTCCCTGAAATGAATTATTTCAGGTTGGGATGCCTGTCATTGAATGCAATGATCAATTGGTCTGGTGATCAGCTAATGCAAAATTAGGCAATAATGGTTATGTACTGGAACCTATGCCGATACTTCAAATACTGGGTAGCATCAGGGCTAGTTTTTTTAACAGCCCACAAATAGACCACTAGCTATTGTTACTTACACAAAATACAAGAAGTAGATTCCACCTTAAGGTATGCGATTACCGAAAGGGGAGGGACTTTTAAGAAATGCTATAAACTCTCTAATTGTATAGAAATATGAATTCATTTATTACATGATTGGAAATAAATAAATAAAGTTGAAACATAATTGGTCCAATTCACATGTAGTATAAGTGTTACATCAAGTCAACAATTATTTTTAAAATAGGACATAATAGAGGACTCATTCAGATAAAACCCGACATGTTTCGCCCTAATGGGCTTTTCAGGGGAATTTTATATATCCTAAATAAGAGAGAACCCATGTGAGGCAAATTGGAGACTGCATTCATAAATAGAACAAGCATATATAGACACACATTATGGTATTATGGATATTAACAAAGCTTACATGGAGGAGTCCAAAGGGACCGTCAATCGACACCACTACATGAAAGGGAGGGGTCCGAGTGTTTTCAGGTGTGTTTTCCCTCTATTCGAATAAAATACTGGGTAGCATCAGGGCTAGTTTTTTTAACAGCCCACAAATAGACCACTAGCTATTGTTACTTACAGTTGAGTGCTGGTGTCAGCCATTGAAGTAGCATAAGATGAGTATACAGAAGTGCTTAGCTAATGATAGAGCCTAGTTGTGGGGTTATGTTAGACAAATGAAAAGGACAGAAAATGGGGGAATAGTTTAAGGGTTAAGTTTAGGTTTTTGGAGGGTTGGAGGAGTGTTAAGTATTGGGGAAAAGGGATAGTGTTAAGCTTTCACTTTAGGGATAAGATTAAGTGTAAGGGTCAGGATGTGTTTTGGGGTTGAGTGTTAAGAGTTAAGACATAGGGTTAATTGAGTGTCAGGGTAGCGTTAAAGTGACACTAAACTCAGGAGTTAAATCTTAAAAATGCATTTAAGTAACTGAACTATTAACAATACTGTACCTTATTTGTAAATCGTGAAATCATCTCTGAATTGGTGCTGACACTGTCCTTCCATCTGGAGGGTGGCTACTTTTGTTCCCCTTGGTCCCTGTGTGTGTTGTAAGTAGCCACCGCTCCAAGCTCACTCTCGTGATAGACTACAATTTGACCTTTAGTTTACTAATTTGTATTGAGATTGTAGTCTATCACAGGAGTGAGCTTGGAGCGGTGGCTACTTTACAACACACACAGGGACAAACATAGCTATCCTTTTGAAGGAGGAACAGTGTCAGCACAAATTCAGAGATGATTTGAGGATCTGCAGCTGAGGCATATCTGAGCGAGGCACAAATAAGGCCCAGTATTGTTAACAGTTAAGGTACTTGAATACATTTTAAAGCTTTTACTAAAACAAAAACACAGCCTACTCAACCTAGCCCCATAATCTAACATAAGCTAGCCCTCCTTTCCCATCCTTCTATGTACAACTGCTCTAATTCTTCCACCTAGTATTTCCTAAGCAGCCTAATGGAAAATTCTAGATTGCCAATAAAGTTTTGCGGAAATGGCATTAAGACAGAGATAAAGGTTGTTGGCATTATTTTACAGTTTGCTTTAGGTAGACCTAATTTTTTAGTGTAGATAGTGTGGCTTTTTCTGTTCTGTAAGAAAGGGATAGTAATATGTCAGTATCTTTTGTTATTATCTTTATATACTTCATTATTTTACTATACCTTTCTTACCTCAGTGTCAGATATCATTTAATGAAATGAGGGCAGTTTACTAAATGATACTCATATACTTTTGTGTTTTACAGCAGTACTGAAGAGCTAAAGGAAGAAGCTAACCAGCCATTACGTGCAATTTTAGATCTAAGAGTTGATTTCTGAGTGAGTACAGATTCATATTTAGCCAGACCAGCACATGTAATACATTTGCTGTTGTTCTTTATATTAAATGTTAATTATTGGTTAATAGTGTTCCTTGAACAATAACATTTTCCTTTCAGCACTGTCCTTATCACGTATCTAGAGAAGGACAGCAGAGGGATATAATCCAAATTGTGTTTGCAGAGGCAAAGCTTAACACATCAACTTTCGCCTTTCATTGTTACAGAAATTAAACTTGACAGACTGTGCAGTGGATATTGTGTTAGTATTATTATGAGAGCAGATTTTGTAAAAGCACAATCATCTATCACATTATACAAAGTGCTACAGGCTGAAAACCAGTGCCAGACATTGGCTTGTATTTCCATAATTATGCCTAAAAACAAAACCCAAGTAAAAGTGGTAGTTTCAGAAGGGATGGGACATTTGTGGGAAAGGGTGGTGGTGGGATGATAGTTCCTGGGCTCTGCTCAATCCCAGTCCACAACTAATATAATAGCAAAAGTGATTGCAGTTGGTATATAATTTGCATCTCATGCAAGAACTATGAGGTGAGCAGCCAATCCACCTCACCATTAGAGGCTCTGTGGAAGACCAGGCCCTTTTTAGATCCTGCACCTCTAGTGCGTCCCCAAAAACACACAGACCCTTAGTTCCCAAGCTTCCTGTGACCAGCATTCCAGACATTACCCCAGCCAGCGACCCTAACCCGCTCTGCAATATTCGGAGCTCACACGCCCCAGTAGCCTGGACCCCATATCGTGACAATCTGCCAGAAATCCAGTAAGCTTCTAACTTCCTGTTTGAGCAGACAACACAGTGTTTCTGCTGCATTGGAATCCCAAGTAGTGTTATCAACACTGCCTAGTGTGCCTGAGCTGTATTATAGGGCACCTTCCACTTATGTTATGTAGAGGAGGAGCAGGGGAAGCAATCTGTAGTCAAGCAAGGTAGAACAAGGCAGAACTCAAAACCACTATTTCAGTGCAACAGGGGCAGTGTTGTCAGTTAAAACAAGACGTTATGAGCACGCTAGATTTCTGGAAGGTTCAACAGGCAATTTTCTGCTCAAAACATGAGAAATGTGCATTTTGTGCAGAGATGTACTTAATATCTTTTATTTGGTTCAGACAAACACTTTTAAAAGTACTGAGTGGGTTAATATGTGTTATATCCCTGATCAGCGTCCGACATCCAACCTAACCTTGAGTATTCATATTCAATAAAGCAAGGTGTGTTGTTTAGTTCTCTTTGCATAAAGAGGAATTCCCGCACAGTACTGAGCAGGAGATCTGAAACAATTAACAGGCTGAAATATATACCACCATAAACTGTATTAGACATGATCATTCATTTTCCAGGCTTTCTAAATGCTTTGATTTTTGCTGTGCGTCTAATAATATTTAATCACTTATTTCCAGTCGGCTCCAAGACAATGATTTACTGATCATGCATTAAGCCGAGTTTTACTTATCAACTCTTTTTTATTCCTTCCAACTTCTCAGTATTACTTGACCTTTTACAGAAAAATGTCTCCCTGGTAATTTTCATATAAATGTATTCAAATCTGAGCACAGTGCGCCAATATACCATGTAACCATTACAGAATACCATTTTATTTCAGGCAATGCCTAACAAAGAAAAACCTTCATTTGTCATGTTAGATGTTTAGGTTTTTAACCACTTCAAGACCAGGTGTTTAGACCCCCTTCCTGGCCAGGCCATTTTTCAGTATTCAGCGCTGCAGTACTTTGACTGACATTTATTCCATCATGCAACGCTGTACTGAAATGAATTTTATACCATTTTTTGGGGACAGATAGAGCTTTCTTTTGGTGGTATTTAATCACCACTGGGGTTTTTATTTTTTACTATAATTAGGAAAAATTAAAGAAAATTTTTAAAAAAGTTTTTTTTTAACTTTATGTTAGGAAACACTTATTATTACCCAGTTTTTTGGTAAAATATAAAAGTCAGGGTCACGTCGGATAAATAGACACCAAACATGTCAACCTTTAAAATTGCGCGCACCCGCGAAATCGCAGAAAACTACCATACCCAAAATTGGCCATAGGCGACACTTTAAAAGCTTTTACCGCTCATCAGTTTAGTGTTATCAGTGATTGATGGCCCTAGACTTATTGCTCTCACTGCGACGTCCGCGGCGATATGTAACATGTGCGGCGTAATGGGCGCAATCGTCGTTTTTGCACGTATGCGCCCCCGACACATGTTTGCATGTGTGTATGTATGGGTGGGGACTTAAACATTTTTTTTTATTATTTTTTATGTGTTCCTTTACATTTTTGGGGGGGGGAACTTAAATTTTTTTTTCCTTTT